ACCCCCTCGTCCAAATCACTGATGAAGATGTTGAACAGGGCAGGCCCGAGGACCGAGCCCTGCGGAACCCCACTGCCCACGTCCTTCCAGGTTGAGAAGGACCCATCCACTACCACCCTCTGGGTGCGGCCCTCCAGCCAGTTGGCGACCCATTTGACTGTGTGAGATGTCTGTGTGTGAAGGGCTATCTGGTTCTTAGCTCCATTAGAAAGGAGAGATGCAGTGGGAAATAATATTTTCTGCATCTGCTGAAAGTGCAACAGGAAAGCAGTTCAGAGGAATCACTGAAAGGCAGGGGAAATTAAACAAAGAGGTAGTATTTGAGATAGAAAGCCAAAGCTGGGAAGGAAAACTGCAACTATTTAGAGATTTCCAGCACAGGCTGTGGAAGAAGTCCTGGAATAAAAGGGAAGTAAGCCAGTGGACTACTTGTGAGCCAAGGACCAGTGAAAGTCCTCCCCTGACAGATCAAGCATTATTTTGCTAAATATTGGGTGCATCTACAAGTGCAATTAATGCGCAGCAATAAACTCCAGCACAATTTGTGCTGTTTATTGCTCCTAGGCATGCTGTTTGAACATGAGTCCAGGACTGCAGCATGTTGAGCTGGGTTGAAGCAGCCCTGGCTAGTCAGGAGTCCTGGGGGTCAGCTTGCTAACCTGGGGCTGCTCTGTACCCAGCTCAACGCCCTGTAGAGGGGCTGGCTGGGGTACAAGGGTGATGTGGTGCAGGATTAGCCAGTAGGGCTGTGCAAAACAGCACCATTCCACTTCAACTTCCGTTTTGATGTTTCAACAGAACAGTGTTTCGTTTTGAGTTTCGTTTAATTTTAAAAGCGCTGTTCCATTTCATTTCGTCAAAACTGTTTCACTGTTTTGACGTTTCACCCATAGGCTATTCCGCAGCCAGTGCCGAGACGATTGGTGCTGCCGCTGGCCCCAGCTGCCAGCACCAGCCTCCTGTGATCCAGCAGGGAGATCGGGGGCCTGCACCCCCGGGAGCAGTCCGGCACAGTCCCCGCAGCCCTCCTGGGGGTGTGGGAGAGCTCCCAAACTGCTTGCCAGATGACACAAGGCTGGTGTTGCTGGCTGGGCCCAGTGGCAGCACTGATCTTCCTGGCATGGGGGGCACCTTTCAAAATGTTTTGAGTGCCCTTGTTTTGTTTTGAAGCTGTTTCAAAAGCTTTTGTTTCATTTCGATTTCGCTGTTTTGAGCTCAAAACGGATTGAAGCAGCTTTGAAATGAAACACTGGGTGAAATTTTGCACAGCCTTACTAGCCAGCATGCAGCCCCCACACTGAAGCACCATCGTGCCCCAACCAGCCCTGTCAGCATCTACACATGCATTGCTGTGGAGTAAAAAACTCAGTCATAGGATAGTACTTTTGTTTACAAGTCTAACCTATGGTGCAGTTTATTAATTTACTATGTCTTAATAGCACTGTACGTGTAGACACTGAGACATTTACTATGGAGCTAATTAGGCAACTGCAGTAAATGTCTCATGTAGATGTGCCCATTGATTTCTGTAAAGAGTAGGGTTAGCACTGGCTTGCTCTAAAGTATTGGCTTAAGAAAGCTGGAGTGTCAGGGGTTCGTGGCCCTGTCTGGAACTGTACATTTTTAACTGTCTCAAGCTGGACATCACATGAAAGTGGGAGGAAACCCTCAGTCCTCTGCAGCCATGGGAAAGGGCTTAGCCCAGTGGAAGCTGAAGACCATTTTGTTTGATCTTTTCTTATCACTAAAAGAAAGGACTCTTGCTACTTTGTGTGCCCAGTACTACTGGGCAAGATGCACACACAAATGTGTATAATGTGTCCAGGGTGTACCTGGTATGGGCATTGAAAGTTTTAGCAACATTTTATGTGGTGTCAAGCTTTTAAATAATGACTTGGTCCATATTTATGTTTCCAAGCCACCTGTGTTCTTGGCTTTCCTTGAAAGAAGTCAGGGAGAGATGCAACAAGAACATTAATTGGTCTATACCAGAGATGGATTGAAATACAGCCTGGAAGCATCTATGTTTCTTCACAGTTAAATTTTTCTTTAATTGTAACTCTCTCCTGACTAGCTTTGATATAGCAGAGAATTGCTTTTGTGAACTGATTAATTAAAAACATGTTTGCTTAATTTTCTGTCAGGTGTCCTCTGGATAACATTATTAAACTTTTTTTTTTTGTTTATTATATTGTTTTCTTGGTGTTTAATGATTTGAAGATTTCATATGAATACCAAGATAATATACTCCTAAATATGTTGGGGTAACATTAAAAACATCTTTAACAAACACAGTGGGCACTGATACACGTGCAGGGAGGCTGCCGTAAATCCAGTGTGTCAGAGCAGACTCAGTTAATCGAGTCTGCTAGAGTGTGACAATTAATGAGCTCTGTCAGCCTCCAGCGTCATGTGAATCAGCGTCTCTGAGCTGAAAAATGCTGGTGGGGTGCTTTGAACTAAAGCTCATTGAACGAGCTTAATTTCAAAGTGTTCTGCCACCATTTTTTCAGCACAGGGACACTGATACATGTGACACTTGGGTGCTTTTAATTAATGTGGTTTGCTAATTAAAGTGCCCCCCCAAGCATGTCTAAAGACACCCAGTCTCTCTAAATAAGTGACCCAAATAATATCTAAAAGCTTTGAGATACCTCTGCCCTGCTGTGAGCAACCACACCTCCACTGAGCTCAAAGGGAACTACTTTTGACTCTCTGAAGTAGAAATGCAACTGATTCTAGCTCTTTGTACTTTAGAAGATTTCCTCAAGTCCCAGGAGCCTTGCTATAAATTATCCAAATTATTGATTTACAACCTCATGACAAAGTCCAGCATTCTGATCTTCTATTGATCTTGATTGTTCAAGGTTTTTTTGGTTAAATTATCATGATGGTGCTCTCCATTATTTAGATAAGAGCAAGAGGCAGTTATGAGGTTTTCTGGCAGCTGTTATGAACAGTTACTCTAGTGCAAGGGTTGCCCCAGGGGTACATGGGAAGGCCCTAGGGGGTACGCACAGGTGGGCATGGACGGAGCACCGCCATCCACCACCCTGTGCTGCCACCTCCCAGGAGCAGGGCCAAAGTAGGGTGAGGGCAGTGGTGCCCCTCTGTGGGCTGCACAGGCACCGCCTGGTTGGCCTGATGCAGGAGGGGGGAAGCTTACCTGTGGCAGCAGCCACTGCCACTCTGTGTTCAGCTACATGCCACCCCCTCCTCTGTGTTCGGCCACTAGGGGTACGCTTATCTTAAAAGGTTGAATGCCCCTGCTGTCATGTGATTCATTGCTCCTGCTGGGACTAAAACCTGGATGTTCCTGGTTAGAGGATCTTGCCCCTCTGCTCAGCATCAGACTGATCACAATCACCATATTTGGGATCAGGAAGAACATTACCCCATGGGCAGATTGGAACTGACTGTGCGGGTTTCTGCTTTCCTGTGTAGTGAGAGGCATGACACTCTTTCTGGGGTCTCTTGAGTGTGTTTTAAGAATCGTTGCAACAGGGGGACACTGACTCTTGCTTTACCTGTGGCAGGTTAGGGTGCTTTTTGTGTCTTTGGGCTATAGGTTACTAAATTTTGCAACATGGTTGACTGTATAGTTTAAAAAATAGGTCAGACATGGACTTGTATGGGAGGGTTTGGATATGGATGATCCTGCCTTGAGCAGGGGGTTAGACTAGAAAATCCCTGGAGGTCCCTTCCAGCCCTAAATTTATGATTCCTTAAAATAGCTGCCTGATCTTTTGTGTAGGGTGGAAATCCCAATTCATTTAACAAGAGAACTTTCTGTTTTCCCAGCTCTGAATTTTTGGTTTCTAGCTTCATGATTGTTACTGTCCCAAATAAGTTTGAATATGTGGACTACACTGAAGTGCATGCCTGAACTGTCACCTAATCTGATGTGTTTCTGTAACTGGGAATTGACCCCAAGAAAGTGCTTCAGAGCTGGGTTTAAGAGGAAATGGCCTGTTATATAGGGTGATCTCTATGCAATTTTTGATACTATAATTGAAGGCAGAAACATAACAGTTTTGTGTCCTGCCTTTGTGGGCAGGCTCAAAAATAGCTGCAGCTGCAATGGTGGCTAAACTCACTGCAGCTACTGTCTTCACCACAGCTAGCGCTGCCCTGAGCATTGCAGCTGCCCCAGGCTCAGGGCTGCCCTACTACACTTCTGATGAAGAACTACTAAGGGGAGACCAGTCTTCTGCTGGAAGTCTTCTGTGCATAATGATACAATATGGAAGAGCTGTTAGATACCAGTGTTCCTGGCATAAAAACAATACTGGGGATTATACCCAAGTACTATAAACAACCTTTCCTCAAAGGAAAAAAAAAACCCAGTGTGGATGAATCTTCTAAGTTTGTTAAATAGTACTGCCTGCCCCTCAACTGTGCAAAATTTGCACTCTGACCGTTCCATTAAAAACGCTGTGTGTAGGGATGTAGTAGATATGGTTATTCTAAGTAGGAGCTGATGCCCTAACATATGAAAGCTAAGGAGTTTTGATCCTGAGCAAGAGCTGCTACTCAGAATGGGAGGAGACTCTCAACCTGGGGTTGATCATTTAAGGTGCTTAGCATTCTCACCCCAAACCAGCACAGCACTGCAGTATGTGGTTTGCCATAAGCACAGCAGGTGCTTGAAATACAATATAGTCACGATTTGCTGGGTTGGGACTGGGGCAAAAATGACAAAGCAAAAATAGGATTTTCCTAGAGAAACTCTCATTTCAGTACCCTTGAAGGTATAATCTAAGTTGCAGTCGCACAATGTCTGCTCCGGGGGCATGTCTAAATTAATTGCCCCACAACAAACATACACAAAAGCCAGAGCTAATTATAAAATAGCAACAACTCTACCAACTCCTTCGATTTAAATACTGAATCCTGATGAACTGGCTACCAAATCAAGAATTGCTATTTAACATAGAGCACAGGTCTAGTTTCAGGTAATTCCCAGGGCTCGTGTACTATTAAAGACTCTGGCCCCTGTAAGAACCTTATTTTTAAAAATAAGCTCTTGTGGCAGGAAGTCTTCACCAGTCTGGCAGCATGGTTGCCATGTGATCTTCATGTACACTGGCTCCTCAGGTATTCCTTATAATCAAGCTTGACCTCATCCTTACTGAAAGACCGCAAGGACCCCAGTGCAGCTGCCTCCAGTTGTTTCGGAAAAATCGTGATGGGAAACTTTTATTGAATTAAATGTGCCAATGAATAATACAGGTGGTAAAACATCTCTGGTTTTCTTTATTCAGTACAAATTATTTCATAAGTACCCTAAATATTTAATTTTCAGTGTGCTGCAGAGTTTTGTGTTGGAAATGCCAGGTGGATAAAGTAGCTGGAGAAGGGGACAGTTGAAGCTTTTGTCACCTGGGAAGAAGCATGTTAGCTGCTGTTCACATACTAGCAATGAAATAGTTAAAGCTGACAATCTTTGTACTTTTACATTTAGAAAATGACAAGTCATTGAGATGACTAGGTTTGTTCACATCTGTCAGCTCCTGCTTCAAGCTGTACGGAGACGCAGACAGACATCTCCGCACAGGTTACTATAAGCTGCGGTTGGCCCTACTTAATGGTGGTATATTATAGCATTTGTTTGCATCTGGTTATCAGAATTTGTGTAAGAGATAAAGGAAATGAGCAGGTGAGAAAATGTTGTAGGCGAGAAAAGTTCAGAAGGCAAGAGAAAGCCAGGTTGAGAGAAGTTGGCTCAGGGTCATTTAGAGTTCGAGTGGTTTTATACCAGTTAGATCTGGTTTAGGGCAGGCACACCTTATGTCAGTGATTACAAATATGCACTTCTGCTTGACAACAAGCAAAGAAGACTTGATAACCACATTAGACAGAGTTCACATCAACATTAGAGATTAAATTATCTATTAAGCACATTTCTATATTTTCTAGGTTTATTTAGCAGTTTAGGCTAGGTCATCACCTTGGAATCTGCACAGAACTCCACTTGCTGAATGGTCCATCTGCAGAACAACTAAGATCAACACTTCTTTGAAACTTATTTTTCAAACGTGGGTAAGACGTACTGTTCCATAACAGGCTGGCTATCCACCTTCTAGAGGCCTTTAAGACTTTAGGACTTAGTACATTTGAGGTTGATCTCCCTCCATTTCAGATATAAAAAATTCTGTTGTTAATGAATATTTGATCATTTTAATCAGTGGTTTGGAGATGCCTCACCTATGTTGTTTTATCATTCATATACAATTTGTATTTCAATATTAACACTGCTGTTAACATTTACTAAAGCTTATTCTATTGAGTACTTGATCTGGGTGGAACAGTTTCTTTGAACTTTCCTTGGTCCCCAGAACACCTTTGGGAGGTCAACATTACACACACATTCATCCCTGTAAGGCAAGATGGGAATTGTTATGAACATCTGGTCTGTGCTCACCCATAACAGAGGCTATAGCTACCACTCAGTGATTTCTCCACCTAGCCAACTGTCTTTTGTTTATGGGCATATCTTTTAAAAAATAAATTCAATTATGATTTTAAATATTCAAATGATGGATAATTGATCACATTTGTTTGTAAGCTGTTCCAATAGCTGACTATATAAACTGCTAAAAATGTATCTCATTTTTAGTTTGAACTGTGCTGACTCTAACCTGTAGCCACTGGATACTGTTATCCCTTTGTCTACTTATTGTATTTACTCAAATGTAGGACAACCCTGATTATAAGATGACCACCCAACAATTAGATTCTATAGATGGAAAATTTGTATATTTGTTATAAATTTCTAGACATAGAATCTAATTATTGGAGGTTTGCTACAGCAGGTAAAATAAATCTGGGGAGTCAAGTAGCCCCCTTGCTGTCTGCCTCCCCCAACATCATCCTCTTGCAGTCCATTCTCCCTCTCCTTACTGTCAAACCCGCCTCACCCTGAGCACACAGAAGCAAGAAACAAATCTGAAAACACTGACCTTGAAATAAACATACCTGTTTTAATTTGCATATAATACCCATAGACTTAGTTCACCCAGAATTGATGCATTTTACCCTATTTTTTTAATGCTGCAAGTTTTAGCACAAGTACTCCATAAACACACCTTTTCGGAGCACTTTGGTGCCTACAATCTCAGGGTGGTGTGTGTGCCCCCCCTTCCAGTCACCTATGGGCATAAGTAGGGTGACCATAAGGAAATCCGGGACATCTGGGACACTCCCCCCCCCCTTCCAAATTAGCAACGCTACTGCAGGCAGTGGCAGACTGGTGGGCAGGGGTGCAGGCACTGTCCAGCAGGGAGGTAGAGCTGTTTGGTGCACCATGCCACTCTGCTTCCCTGCCAGACTGCACCCTGCACCCCTGCAATTTTGGGATGCTCATTTAATTGTCATCAACCAGCTGGGACCAGCCTATGACATCCAGGATTGCCCCAGGCAAACTGGGACGTATAGTCACCGTAGGCATAGGGCAGCCTGGTCCGACTCCACCTCATGGAGGGTGGGCCCTCAGTAATCATATACTACAGGCTGAGAGGCTGACAGAGGAATTCTGGGTGAACTGTTTTGGGCCCAATTTGGTGATGTTTGCCAGATGTTTAAGGTTGATAATGAAACAGAAATATTTGGAAATGGGAAAGAAGTGGTGTATCTCAGCTATGGGAGTGAAGCAGAAGTCAAAATGTATGCAATGTAGTGGTTCACCATGACTTGAAAAAGATTTGGTGCTGGGAAGGACTGAGCTCAATGGGCACTACCATATATCTTATCTAGATAGGTTATGCTTGAGGTAGGTACCCATCAGCATGTTTGCCCAATATGGGCTGTGAATTTTATAATCATGTCTAGTGTTGGCTGCATTTCATCAGCTTCATAGTTTGTTTCCGTTACTGATCACATACTGCTTTTGGCAGAAATTTAATGATAAACAATGTATTTAATAAGGTTTCCTTGTATATGAATGTATGATGAAGGGCTTCCTCCCCCCTCCTCCCTGTTAACTGTAGGGGAAAAACCTGTCTTGTTTTTAAGTAAATATGATAATTGAGGAACAGTTGGAACATTTGCAAACTTTTTCTTCATAATGGAAGCTTAGATTGTAGAACACAATTCTTCAGGAATTAAAATTTTATGACCATGAAGTAGCAAAGTACAGGGAGCCCTGATTGTACTTAGTACCTGATGTTTTTGGCATGTGCCACAGCTACTCTCTGGTAAGCCAACTATAAAAGTGCTACTGTAGATGGATGGTAGGTATTGAAGCAGTAGGAAGAGAAGTTTGTAAATTTCTATCAGAATTAAAGGCTCACTGCTTCAATGAAACATCTATTAAAGGCTAGTATGTGGATTATTCTAGTCTTTAATAAGATGGGGAGGAGTTAAGGACAAGGAAAAACAGCAAGAGATGGTAGGGAACACAATACTATATACCAGAATTGTATTTAAGACCACCAACTCACTTCATCTGAGCTACTGAAGAGCGGTTAAGCATAGGTTATTTTTATTGACTTTCGACCTGGACTGTTACTCAAATCACTGTTGTCTACATCCTGGTTTTGGTTGTAAAAGGCAGCCAGATATGCTGTGAAATAACCTAGTCTCATGTTATGCTGAGGCATCAGAACCCATGAATGACAGGAAATATTCAAGAAAAGCCTATTCTTACAAGTTTTCTGCTCCTCTCCTGACTACATGGGCTCCAGTAAGCATTCAGCTACCTCTTAGGACAGGGGGTGGGCAAAATGCAGCCTGGCGGCTGGATGCAGCCCGCCGAGCTATTCTATCCGGCCTGTGGGACCTCTAAAAAATTTAGAAAATTAATATTAATCTGCCTTGGGCTGCCTGTCATGCAGCCCTTGATGGCTTGCTGAAACTCAGTAAGCGGTCCTCTGCCCAAAATAATTGCCCACTCCTGTCTTAGAGGTATTCTGCACCTCATAGGATCAAGCCTCTAATGAGACAAGGCAATTCTTTGCAAGTAATCCTGT